GTGAAGCAGCGTCGAGCACGCCCTTTCTTCCGCTTTCGACCCTTCAGCCACGCTTCAAGCCGCCTGCTGTCACGGAAGCATGCCCTCGGTTGCCTCCTCTGGCGCGCGCCCCCTTCAACCGGCGGGGTCGGCGGATATTGCAGAGGCGAGGCGAAGGTTGTGAAACACTGCGAGAGTGGTTTTGAAACTTGAAATTCTAGTGGAGAACTCATGCAGGTAGTGACAGTGGCGCAGATGGAAAAACCATCAGCCGAGCCTGAGGTCTCCGAGGCGATTTGCTCGTTTGACAAGCATCGTGCAAAATAAGTAAGTGTCGAGAAGAACAGTTGGAAGTGAGGCTAGGTGTATAGACCCATTTCCCTTCACAGTGCAGAAGCTCAGAAGCTACTGCCCTTCTTGCCCATATTCAATTCTTGCTCACCAACAGCACCGTCCTGCAAACACCAGAAATTACGAACACAAGCCTTTAGATGTAGATGTAGACTTCAACCTGCCGGGCGAGACCGTGGTTACCCAATCAACAGTTTGACGGTAGAATTAGACACCCACAAATCCAGTGAAGACGTTTTTCGCACTGGGAAAGAGGACCTACATGGTGCAAGTAATGCTCAGACAGTGATGTTAAGGTGATGTAAGTCAGTATTTCTGATTATTTCTGCATCATGTTTCACCTCAACAAAAGGGTTCACTTTTGCTCTTTTCCTTCTTGGGTTGTTGCCTAAATAGCGACCAAGGGAGAGCTACGTTTTCCATCAAGTTTTGGGAGTGGCTCACATTCCGCAGCAAGCAATATGATTATGGTCATTTATGGTCCATGGTTTGTGAAGATTGGCAAACTGCCGACTCAAGTGGCTTGAAGGACCCCTGGGAGGAAATCTTGGGGAGCCTGGCCGAGGCTGCGGAGTGTGGAGCACGGCGGGGAGGATGTTTGGCGGCCTTTACAAACAAAGTAGACTTGGCGCAGCCATTCACCTTCCATACCTGTGCACAAGCGTTGGTCTTAAAGTCTTGCATATTGGTGACTTCCTTCCAGCAAATTGGGCATAATAGCCTCATGCTTTTAGCATGGATCTCAGACCCTTTGCAAAACGCAAGCCCCAGCTTCTCAGACAGGGCCATCTAGGTCCGGCTTGCTATACATTTATTCAAGTTGTTCTGGCAGAGCTAGTAAACATTGAAACAGCCATGGTACAGTATCCAGCATGTGTGTTGTTTGGGCTCCTGCGCGATCAATCACGCATCAGTCATGTTGCCGTTGCGCAAGGTGGCCCCCCCACGCGTTTCAAAGGCAGATGCCCGTGGCTTAAGAGTGCCGCTTTGCCTTGCCCATTTACTCTCTCTCAATCAAACGTAGCACCTCCTGTGCTCAGGATGTTCTCTAACCTGACACCCCTTAACCGGCGTCTTTCTGGGGAATGGTTTGCAACGGTGATTCACCGTACCCAAACACGTTACACAAACAAAGCACCTGAGAGCATGTTGGATCCACAGTGGAACCATTCAGGTGCTATCACTCAACCGCTATTTGAAGACCTTGATTGATACGACTCAGCGTGTGCTTTCTTGAAACAATGTCAACCTTCCTGGCTCAGTCTAACTCCACTTTTGGGAAGCAAGGTCTGGACCAAAGAGTCTTCAGGCAAGGGGAGTCGGCCTTTGAGTCCGTTTCTGCTCTTTATCACAGACCCCTTGGAAATTCCCTACCTGACTTCCTTGTTCCCCACCTGCCAGGTGAGGGTTGTTAGATTTTATCACAGTTGTTCTTCCTCCGCCTCCGCCGCCTCCTCGTCCTCCTCCTTCCTCCTTCCTCCTTGCTTCCTTCCTCGCCAATCTTCATCGCCAATCTGCTTCGCCGATCTTGTCTGGCCAGCTCCGGATCGCAGTGTGCACCCCTGGACCTCAACCGCAAGGATCCCCTCGCAGTGTGCACCCCTGGACCTCAACCGCAAGGATCCGATCGCAGTGTGCATCCCTGGACCTCAACCGCAAGGATCCGATCGCAGTGTGCACCGCTGGACCTCAACCGCAAGGATCCGATCGCAGTGTGCACCGCTGGACCTCAACCAGATAGTTTGCCAGATAAAATCCACAAACGCACAATCACAAACACACGACCACAAACGCGCAACCACAAACACACAACCACAAACACAATCACAAACCCACAATCACAAACACAACCACAAACACACAACTACAAACACAACTACAAAGACACAATCACAAACACATAACCACAAACACAAAACCACAAACACACAACCACAACCACACAACCACAAACACGCAATCACAAACACAAACACAATCACAAACACGCAACTACAAACACAATCACAAGCACACAACTACAAACACAACTACAAAGACACAATCACAAACACACAACCACAAACATACACACAACACACAACCACAAACACACACAAACACACAACCACAAACACACAACCACAAACACACAAACACACAACCACAAACACACAACCACAAACACAACCACAAACACATCCACAAACACAACCACAAACACACAACCACAACCACAACCACAACTACAAACACATAATCACGAAGGCACAACCACAACCACAACTACAAACACATAATCACAACCACTACCACTACCACAAACACATCCACAAACACACAACCGCAAACACAACTACAAACACACAATCACAAAGACACAACCACAACCACAACCACAACTACAAACACACAATCACAAAGACACAACCGCAACCACAACCACAACTACAAACACACAATCACTACCACAAACACACAACCACAAACACACAACCACAAACACACAACCACAAACACAACCACAAACACACAACCACAAACACACAACCACAAACACAACCACAACCACAACACAGCACACAACCACAGCACACAACCCGAGGACCCACAAGCAACATCGAGAACTACAATACTAACGACTATGGCAACATGCTCCTCACTATGGCATCAAGACAGATGATTGAAATGTCATGGTGGGGATCACTCGAAGTAAAGTAATTTGTTTTTTCAATGGGCAGTGCAGCTATTCATTCTTGCTAGCTCAATTCGGCCTCGGAAGTGCCAGGAAGTGTTTCCATCAGCCACGAGCACACTGCTGTGTGCAATTTTTGGATTGCTGGCTTTTCACTGGCAATTTGGGGGCGCAACAGCCATGCTAGTGTGATTGCACTACAGACCCTATTTGCAGGGCTTGTGCATTAATTGGTCAGCTGGCAGGTGTGGGTGTGGGCGTAACCTGTGGAGAGGATGTATATATGAGGCTCCATCCAACGAAGCTCCTCATACGCTCCTAGGATATAGGACGCTTGATGACGTACCTGCTTGGATCCTAAATAATTTCCGTTTGGCCCCTACTTTGTACTAGAACAAGCACTCTGGTCATTGCACCTGTTTGAGTCGGCAGTTACACAACTTTTGTTTTTCCGTGAAAGTGGAAACTTGGCACTGTGTCACTTTTTGGGCTTTTGAGATTCGAGACTTTTCATGGCTGGACCCCTCTGCACTAGTTTTAACCAGGAACCTTTTTCACCTAGGCATTAGGGGCAAGGGGTATTCAGACCGTGCCGGGTGCGCGTGAACTAGTGAATGCACTACCACACTTTCTAGCTCAGACCGCCCCTCGCTCAATTCACATCCTACACCTAGACTGTTCAACGCATCCTGCCGCAAGACATCTTGTGCTCCACGCATCCCAAGTGTGTCTCTCATTTCTTGATTGAGAGCCAGGAATGAGCCCGAAGTAGTGCCCTTACCCTTTGGCTGGTGGACAGAGCAGGCCATAGCGGCCGTAGGAATCATCACTGGCAAAGTCTTCATGAAGATTTGATGACAGCGCCAACTGGAGCAGGTTTTTTTGCCAAAAGCTGTCATAGCGGCCGTAGCTTTTGATCTGAGATCAAGTGACCTCAGCCGGACCCTCAAAAACCTAACGTGCACAGTACGCCAGTACGCTTTACACACTTAACCAAGCTAGGACGCCCAGGTCTTCTCTAATAAGGTTAGGGTGTTTTCTTGCTTGTCCCTCTCATTTGGTTTCCACGTCATATGTTTCGCCGCCTTTTCTTCCTCTATCGTCACTGAAGACCTCCAAGCTTCGCTTCGCTGTTTGGAAAAATGTGTTGAAAGTTTGCTGGCGCACGGTTTTTGGTTGTGTTTTGATAACGTGTTAATATACGCTAATCCTGTTTTTGTTGTCGTCTTTTGAAAGCGCGGCGTTCGATTATTGATTATTGGCCTTGCCAGGCACCGCGAAGGCCTAAGCAATCCTCTAATTTCCTAAGATTGAAACGTTCTATTTGGCCTTAGGGTACCAAATTCTGTGAATCCCCAATCTTATGTAGTAATGGGTTGTCACGTTCACACCACGTGGGACCCATGCGAGAGTGGAGTCGACCTTGGCATTGGGACGACCCAAATGACTGATAGCCCCAGAGCGCCAAGTCACACTTTGATGCCATGTCATATCATGGTTCTGTTTGCCTGTTTTTGTGCAGCTTCCAAGTACAACGGTTCAGCGCTACAGGCGATGCAGAGTGCAACTTCAATTCCACGCTTGAAAGCTCCAAGGACCTTTGTTTCCACCTTTCTTCTCCAGTTTCGGCACTCCGAACAGGAGTTGCAGCCGGCCCTGTCACTGTTACAAAACAGATTACGTTGTTTGCCGCATTTTCCGGTCAGGATGATTCGGGACGTCTTAAGTTTGGAGGGGCAATGTCTACTGGTATCAAAGCATGAAGCCAGGTCAGGCATTGTGGTGAAGCCCTGTCAGGAGGAATTTTGTTTCATTCGATTACATACGTCTTCATCCTTCTACTCCAAGATTGAAACAGTGTTGATTTACACACGACCCTAGACCACAGATGAAGGATTGGTGCCTGTTTAGTTCTATTGACCAAGTTGCATTGTAAAGAAGAAGCGAACTGCCTGCGTTGGTTGTGGTTGGCCGGTTAGCCCTTTGAACAAGTCATGTTGCAGCAAGCTAACGACCCGATGTTAAGATGGAATACAGCAGGGGGTGTGTTTCACAAGGTATTGGCGAACGCCTCAAAGGTATTGGATGCTAGCACACTTATGATTTCAGGAGCAATCATGTGTAATTCTTTCTTTTTGGAGGAAAAGGAAGTGGAAGTGGAAGTGGAAGATGAGGCCATGGGTTGAAGAGTAGGTCAGAGGTCGGCACAACCTTCATGGGCTTTTGCGACAGAAACGCACTCACTTCCACATTGTGCAAGTGCATTGCAACAACATGGTTGTCCAAGCATGTCTGAGAAATGCAAGGGTGCTTCTCTCGGCCGTGACTTAATCACCCGGTGTTCTTCCTTCCCTCGTCCATCACACTGACAGACGGACTTCTCAGCATTTAAAGGAGCAAAAATGTTTTGGATTTGTTCAGCAGTGATGAGGCAGAAGTGTCACTTCAGAAGCCAGCAGAGTCGCTTGAGGCATGAACTGCCTACCTTTGGCACGGCATTAACAGAGCACGCATTTGCAAAGACCTTTGTTTGTTGAAGGTGTGGCAGAGAAGTCACTTACTTGATTGACAGAGGTCAAAGCCGAAGAGCGTGTGGTAACGTCCCCGACACACTTGTCAGAGGCATCACCAGCTCAGCTTGTTTGTTTGATTCTGGACTACCTATTCAACCAGGAGCTGTGGGTGTAGCCGAGTAGCTGCAGACATTTTCCTTCGCACAGGTCAAGCCAGATGTGCACGTGGACGCCCCGTTGGCAAAGCCACCAGAGGCAGCACCGGCCATTTTGGAACACTCAAAGTAGTTCACAAAATGTACGGTATGTAGCGGTATGTAGGGGGCGGGGCTATCAAAGAAGTCTAAAAGATAAAAATCTTATCAAAAAGAAAACCAATCTATATCAAAAACTATATATATGTTGATTTCGACTGTGCCGTGTCGATCGTGGAACGATCATCGCATGTCGCAGGGACTTTAATGCCCGAGCGTATGAGGAGAAAAGGCCTGCGTGGACCGCAGGGAAGGCTGGGCTACCAACATTGGTAGCGGAGCAGGTACAAATCCTGTCTCCTGCTCCTTGGTTCGCTGGAAGCGGGCCGGAGCGTTCGACTGTGCCGATAGGTTGCCATGGAGGCTGGAACCTCGCTCCGATACTTTTCGGGGGAGGACAGTGACCACCGTGAATATCGACGGTGGAAACAATGGGTGGTCAACAAGATGCGAACAATGGATAAACTGGATGAGGCTGCACGTGGCTCGTTCATTTGGACCCTCCTGTCAGGCAAAGCGCTGGAAGTGGTGGAGCATTTGAAAGAAGAAGATTACCAGGTGAAGGGCGGTGATTCTGTCATCTTCAAGCTCCTTGACAGGCGATGGCCTGAGCTGGATCGCACGGACGAGATCGGCGAGAACATCGCTGAAGTGTTCGCCCTCCGGGCAAAAGAAGGAGAGACTTTGCGTCAGTGGTGCGCCCGTGCTCGTGAGTGCTTCGACAAATGCGCTCGCAAGACTGGCGTAAAATTCCCAGAAGAGGCCCGAGGATGGATCCTGCTGAACCAGTCCGGTATGGCTGAAGCCGATCGTGCTATCTGCCTAGCACGAGCCCAAGGCGATCTGAAGTTCGATACGCTGTCACAGGCCATGAGGTCTTGCTTCCCGGACTATGTCATGCCAAAGCGTCGTACAGTGGGGGCCCATGTGGTGGAAGAAGCGGGTTCCGGTCCCGTTGAGCCGGAGGATTCATTGCAAGACATTGAGCTGTTTCTGGCTGAGCACGGCTATGAAGAGTCAGGTGAGCCTCACCTGACGGGTGAAGAGTTGGATGAAGAGGACACTGCTGAGATCTTGGCCACGACCTGGAAGGAGCGACGCTCCGAGTTGAACCAAGTTCAAAAGGGCCGAAGGTTCACTGCCTCTGACACCCGCCGTGGCCAGACTGCTGGTGGTAAGGACTTCAAGCGGTCCTTCCGTGTTCAAGTCGAAGAGCTGAAGCAACGTACCCGGTGCCGACGATGTGGTAAGCTGGGACATTGGCAGCGTGAGTGCAAGTCGCAGCCTGCTAGTGCTTCAACGACATCCACCAGTCATGCAGCCAGCGCCGTCCAGGTAGTGGATAGCCCAGCAGAGCACTTTGTGTGTACTGCAGCTCTTTGTCCGGAGCTGCCCAATGAGGTCTTGTTCGTGAGCAGTCCAGGGTTCGCCATCCTGGACAGTGGCTGTGGGAAGACAATCATTGGTCATGACACTCTCGAGTCCTTCAAGAAGATCTGGGCTCGATGCGGCATTCCTGAGCCACCCCTTCGAGAGGAATCCAACCAGTTCCGATTCGGGAACGGTGAGCTGGAGGTGAGTTCTCATATGATCGATCTCCCAGTGTTTTTAGCTGGACGCCCTGGTTTTGTGAAAGCTGCTATCGTGAAGGGATCAGCCCCGCTGCTCCTGTCAAGGCCAGCAATGAAGACCTTGGGCGCCTCCATGAACTTCGGTGAAGACAAGCTGACCCTGTTTTCAGACCGGGTTGAGATTCCGTTGGAGGTGAACGCCGCAGGACAGTATGCTGTGAATGTGTCGGCCTTTCCGAAGAATGCCGCCGAATTGTTTCCGCAGCCTGTTTTGAAGCCAGTGCACGATTCTGTTGAGCCTGCAGCTCAACCATGCCACTCGGTCGCTTTCAATCGTCAACAGGCCCGTAAGAAGGATTTTTGGGAGTTGAAGCCTCGTGAACGTTTGGTCATTCGTCATCATCTTAAACCCCGGGAAAGGTTGTTTACCCCGCAGAGTACACAATGCCCCGTTGATGTCGAAATGCTTCAACCGGAGCGGACAACCCAGCTCGATACTCCGCCGCCGTTGCCTTGGGACCATCGGGATTCATGGTTTGAGCCTGACACTGCACATGCTGTACTCGGTGAACAACCATGGACGGGGAGAACCGTCTTTCGACTTCGATCCGATGCCGTCCTGCCGTCGATTGCTTATGCCCAGGATGAGATCGAGCAGCTTCATGTCACTAAGTGGACTGCCAAGCAGCACCGACAGTTGATGGCACAAGTCAAGGTGCCCAAGCGGGAGGACCAAGTGTCGCATGATAGGTATCATGTCATTGAGGTGTTCTCTCCACCACGGTTCGCCTTAGAGGGTGCGACTCGAGGGTATCGTGTTCTGTCAGCTGACCTTAGCACGGGATGGGACTTTCGTCGGAAGAGTGATCGTGAAAACATGTTGACACTTGTTCGAACCAATCCACCTGACTTGCTAGTGTTGTGCCCGCCATGCACGTGGGCAGGGGGCTGGTGGCACCTCAATCGTGCGCATATGGATCCAAACGAGGTGCGACTCAGGGAAACATGGACTCAGCTGTTCGTGCGCTTCTGTTGCCAGCTGATAGAAATCCAACTAGTGTCGGGAGGTAGGTGCCTGTTCGAACATCCTCAAGACTCCATTGCTTGGAAGATGCCATGTATGGAAAAGCTTCAATCGCGATTGCATTCCGTGTTCGTAGACATGTGCTGTTACGGCCTTCGTGTCCCAGGCGGCTCTCTGATCCGCAAAGCCACTAGGTTAGCAGTTTCTCATGCCGACATGAGATGCTTAGGTAAGAAATGCCCTGGTCCCACTCACACGGATCATCAACATCACCAGAGCATAGCCGGAAGTTGGCCAAAGATAGGTTCCATCAGCAAATTTGCAGCGAAATACACACTGGCATTTGTCAGAGCCGTCCTTCGTGTGACCAAGGGACTTCCGAAGACAGTTGGCCTGGTGGTCCAATCAGATTGTTCCACCGAATGCCTAGTAGCTCACACGCTTGAGGGCCTGAATCAAGAAGACAATGAAGCCAAGATCAAAGACAGCCTTCGTCGACTGCATAATAACCTTGGTCATCCTACAAATCAACAGCTTATAAGAGTCCTCAAGCATGGGGGCGCATCCGCGGCCGCTCTGGAAGCGGCACATCGGTTCTCGTGTGACCTGTGTCTCGCCCAGAAGACACCCAAGGTAGCCTTGCCTGCTCAGGTCCATCGAACTGTGGAGTTTAATGCTGTTGTTGGGATTGACGTCAAGTATTTGCCTGGGTGGGAGACCAATCAAAAGGTTCCAGCCCTCAACATTGTCGACCAAGCCAGTTCTTTGCAAATCATGGTCCCAGTGTTCAAGCGTGAGACATCCGATATCATCAAGCAAGCGTTCATGGAACGATGGGTGTCTTGGGCAGGTATGCCACAAGAGATTGTGTGCGACCCTGCACGCGCCAACGTGGCCGATGCGTTCACTGCCGCGCTTGAGCAGGGAGGAGCAAGTTTCAAGCTGACTGCTGGCGATGCACACTGGCAGCTAGGTAAGACTGAGGTTCACGGGGGTTGGTTTAGCAGAGTGCTCACCAAGATTTTGTCCGAACATGCACCCCGAAACCAAACTGAATGGCTTGACTGTGTAAATGCAGCTCACTGTAAAAATCAGTTAATCCAGGTGTATGGTATGACACCATCTCAGTTCGTGTTTGGGAAGAACCCTAGAGTGCCCGAGAACTTGCTTGATGAACCTCTAGAGATCGTACCTGCCACCTCGGCCTTGTATGACGAAGCTGTTGCCAAGCAAGTTGCAATCCGACAAACTGCTCGAAAAGCAGTGCTTGATTTGCAAGATAGCAAGGCGCTTCGCCAAGCCTTGGCCGCCCGGCCTCGTGTGCATCACACCTATAGTCCTGGAACCCATGTCGCTTACTGGCGATCACAAAAGTGGGTTCATGGTTCCTTGGATAAGACTGGAAGATGGTGTGGTCCTGCACTCGTGTTGGGTTATGTGGGTCGTAACCTAGTGATCATCCATAAGAGACAGATTTTCCGGTGTGCCCCAGAGCAAATTCGCCCATCTACTCAGGATGAACTCAAGCTGACCGAAACTCCCCATATGGAATTCCTAGGTATCAAGCATTTGATCGAATCACACCAACTTGAAAGTAGGCAATATGTAGACCTGACCTCCGAGTCATACCCTGGGGTAGAGCCTGAAGTTGAAGAAGGTAGTTCACCAGCCTTGGTCGACCGGCCTTCCGTTGCTGAGCATGGAAGACCTCGTCTCGGTCCATTTCCAGTGAATGCACCGCCCCAAGAGGTGAGTGAATCCCCAGAGCCGCCACCGCTCATCGACAAAAGCCCGCAGCGGACCAAGTGTCGTGTCGCCTCAAGAGGCTGCACAGGGCCCTGTCCGACCGCCGAGACGGCGCGTTGGTCAAAAGGATGGCCCAATGGCTCTGTATCGTCCGGGACGAATGGCACAAGAGGACTTTCAAGAGATGATGCAAGAGATCGTGCCTGAACTTCTCCAACAAGTCTTGCAGAAAAAGTCATGCAGTAGTCCGGACCTCACAGATCCGCCACCAACCGGCAAAGGATCATCGTCGAGTTCGAGTCGAGGGACGAAACGATCGATCGAATCGGCTGATGCCGATGGTGAACCGGTTGAGAAACGCCCCCATGAGATGGAAGAAGATCTGTTAGTTGAGAGCGCCACTTTTGCCATGGATGAGATTGGGGTTTGTTCGGTAGAGCTCCTTCAAAGCCACTCTATGGGTGACGTTCATGATGGTCTCGACCATAGTGCCAAACAAGAACTGGTGTCCTTGTTCCAACAGGGGATGCCTTGTGAAGTGCTTGTTGCCGCATACATGCAAAAGAAAGCCGCCAAAGAAATTCCGGTAACCGGTAACCCTCCGGAGATTCAGAAGAAAGTAGATGAAGCCAAGCTGTTGGAATGGAATACCATTGAAGGAAAGCACGCTGGTCGTGTAGTGCTTGGTACTGAGGCTGATGATGTTCGTAGGTACCTGAGCCATCGCATCATGGGTAGTCGGTATGTGATGACCTTGAAAGTTGAAGACGATGCCGCCCCTCGCTTCAAAGCTCGTTGGTGCCTTCAGGGTCATTTGGGCCCAGACCTCACAGCAAAGGCTGAGCTTGGAGACCTCCAGAGTCCCACACTGTCCCAGGTTGGTCGTAACCTGATTTTCCAATTGTTGGCTAGCCACCAATGGGAGATGCAGTTGGGGGATATAAAAGGGGCATTCCTGTCTGCCGGGAACCTTCCCCAACGTTACAAGCCGCTGTACGCCTCTTTGCCAAAAGGGGGTATCCCTGGCATCCCAGATGGAGCCTTGATAGAAGTGTTGGGACATGTGTACGGATTGAATGACTCCCCAGCTGCCTGGTATAAGAAGTTGAGTCACGAATTGATTGCAACCGGTTTCGAGCGGTCCCGTTTCGATTCATGTCTGTACTACTTTCGGGAAAACGGAAAACTGACAGGAATCTATGGTGTTCATGTGGACGATTGTGTGACAGGAGGGTGTGGTGCTGGCTATAGAAAGGCCATCGCTCAGCTGAAACAGACTTTTGAGTTTCGCAAGTGGCGTACTCAGAATGGTGATTTCTGTGGTGCACAGTATGTTCAAGACCCAAAGACCTTCGAAGTCATCATGAAGCAAGAAAGGTTTGTTCAGAAGGTAAAACCCCTGCACTTGTCCCGTGATCGATCACGAACCCGTGAAGCCTTGTTGAATGAGAAAGAGGTAAGTTGCTTGAGAGCTATTAATGGAAGCCTTAACTGGCTATCGACGCAATCAAGACCTGACTTGTCGACTCAAGTATCATTCTCACAGCAATCATTCCCACGACCAACAGTAAATGATGCTATTGCAGCAAACCATGCCGTAAGACGGGCCCGTCAACACGCAGATTTAGCCATTAGGTTCAGTCACATCCCACCGTCTGAACTGGGTCTCATGTGTCACTCGGATGCCGCTTTCGCTAATGGCCGATCGGGTTCCACCCAAGCTGGTTTTATGGTTAGTTTTGTTCATCAAGGGATCAACTCAGGTCTTGATAGTCCTTGGACTCCGGCTTACTGGAAAAGCCACAGGTTGCCAAGGGTTGTCAGCTCAACCCTGAGCGCTGAAGCCCAGAGTATGGCCACTGCATCGAGTATGCTAGAGTGGACTAACCTTTTGCTGTCGGAGGCCCTGGACGGTCCCCGCTTTGCGCATAGCTTGTGGAACGGAGTTGATCACAGATTGACCATGCTGATCACCGACTGCAAATCTCTCTATGACCACCTGATCTCAAATTCTTCCCCTACCTTGGACGACCGGCGAACGGCCATAGATATTGTGATCTTGAGGGATTGTGTTTTTAGGACAAAGTCTCAGCTTCGATGGATCCCCACAGACAGAAAGCTAGCCGACGGACTCACGAAGGAAAGCCCGGAGGCCCTAGACCTCATTCGTGCTTGTCTCCGTACCGCACGCTACCAGATAAGTCCTGAAAATCTGGTTTTGGAACGCCGAGCACAAGAGAGGGATCGTCGAAAACAGTTTGCATCGAAGGGTCCACCTCCTCTTGCCGAGGAAACCAAGGAGGAAAACTCTGCACAATAGCACTGAATCGAGCATTGCTTGTTTTGGGGAAGAGTGTGAACACTCGGTAGTCAATGCCTAGGGGATTCGTGTGTTTTCTTGTGTGAGCTAGTTCACTTCTTGAGCCGTTTTGCGAAGTCTCCACACACGCGTTCGTTTTTACCTGTACAGTCATTAGCCCTGCATCTTGAGACACGCACTTGTTTTTGCCAACCTCCATTTTGGAGTTATGTGTTGATGCCGCTTATCAGCAGGTGATCAAATGATCATCGTTAGGTGTTCGAAGTGTTCAGTGGCTGAGTCGCCGCTGTGAGAGCCCGTAGCTATGGCCATGAAGAGCGACAAAGTGTTCCTTCCTCAGGAGCACGATGAATGTGCCCGCCTCATCCTGAAGGCTCGACGCCTTGGAGCTTGGAAGTCCGTGTGGCAACAGGTGATTGACACTGAGGACTTGATCCATGATGGGCCTGAGCCTACCAATCGCTCCCCCTCTGGAACGATGTCGGACGGGAGTAAGAGGCTCCGTGATGAGCATCACCATGGCCATGCCTCCGCTGGAACACCCTACCATGCCGGCTTGGAGAATGAATTGCCTGGTCCAATGCCCTCCTCGAGCGGGGGAAAGAACAAGATCATGGTGCCGGATGCTTTGCTTCCTCCAGGGATTAGTTCCTTGGATCAGTGGGGGCAATGCTACATGTCCTTCGGAAAGTTTAAGGATGTCAAGACCTACTGTGAGGTTTTTGAGAGCAAGGACGAGTCCATGGCAGGATACCGCAAGTTCTGCATTAGCCACTGCGAGAGTGGCTCGGCCGGCCTCAAGGATTTTGTTCATTACATGAACAGCCGCGGAATCGAAGATCCGGACCAGACTGTCATCCCTGGCAGCGGCATTCGACGTTCCTTTAAAAAGTAAAGGAATGTTGATTTCGACTGTGCCGTGTCGATCGTGGAACGATCATCGCATGTCGCAGGGACTTTAATGCCCGAGCGTATGAGGAGAAAAGGCCTGCGTGGACCGCAGGGAAGGCTGGGCTACCAACATATATATATATACATATATCCCTTCACAAAGAGCTGCGCCTGCCACTGCGAACTGCCTTGGCAGGGCTGCGCGATGTGAATCTTGATGTGCAGATTTCGTGGCAGGCGCAGCACTTGGAGCACCTTTAGTTCCAGATTTCGTGGCAGGCTCGGTACTTTGCGCACTCGAAGTGCAGATTTTGTGGCAGGCACGGCACTTTGTGCACTGGAAGTGCAGATTTCGTGGCAGGCGCAGCACTAAGTGAACCTCGTGGTGCAGATTTCGCAGCAGGGGCAACGATTTGTCAACCTTGAAGTGCAAATTTTGTGGCAGCATTTTGTGAACCTTGAAGCGCAGATTTCGTGGCAGGCGCGGCGATTGTGAACCTCGAAGCGCAGATTGCGTGTCAAGACCTCGAAGAGAGCTCTATATCTTTGCATCCGAAGACCTCTTGACCTCATCTCGGCCTTTATTTACGATTTTCTTGACCCTCTGCAAGTCTAGACCTCCAGAATATAGATTTCAAGACCTGTCTAGACCTCAAGACACAAGGCCTCTACAAGATCTCTGGGTTTCTAGACCTCTACACCTCTAGATCTGTCTGGATGTCCAGGCCTTTGGGTCTTTGTAGATGTAGACCTCGCTGCTTCTCAACCGTGATCTCCTGAATCTCTTGACCTGTAGATCTCACAAAAGGTCTGCTAAGTTGGAATGGCACCTTCCCCCAATTGGCTGACAAGAGGTCTGCTGCCTGGAATGGCTCCTTCCTCCCCTAAATTTTGCCCCCGCATGGCTCACAAAAGGTCTACTCTACTATTCCTCCAAATTTCCTCGCCAAAGGTCTGCTGCCTTGGCGTAGCACCTTCCTCGTCTAAATTTTACCCTCGGGTGGCTCGCAAAAGGTCAGCTATTTTGGATTAATAACACCTTCCTTTTCCAAATTCTACCCTCAGGCTGCTCCCAAAACAAAGGCCTGCTACGTTGGAATGGCAACTTGTTCCTCAAAATTTTACCCTCGCAAGGCTAACCAGAAAGTCTGCTACTTTGGAATGGGTCCTTCCTCTTCTAAATTTTACCTTTTGGTGGCTCGCAAAAGGTTTGTTACCTTGGAATGCCACCTTCCTCGTCCAAATTTTACCGTCGGGTGGCTCACAAAAGGTCTGCTACGTCTGGTGATATAAGGCCTGCTGCAATGCTTCACAGGATGCATGGCCAGTAGATTTCCAAATCATCCTTAACGCGTCTTGCCTCGAAAGTACAGACCCAAAGACCCGATGACCAGGACCAGAGGACCAAGGGACCAGAGGACCAAGGGACCAGGACCAAGGGAGCAGAGGACCAAAAAACAGGACCAAGGGGCCAGTGGACCAAGGGACCAGGACAAAGGGAGGAATATGTTTTTGAGACGAATCATTTTTTGATGGAAAACAATTTTCTGTTTGATAGGTATCCCATGTAGGGGTGTGATAGCTTAGCCCGGGTAAGCGTCCGACGCCCCTTCCACATTCAACCACTAGCAAGCTTCATGTGCACACGAGTTGGTACAGACAGAGGTGGAAGAACTACACTCAGAGCTCTCTGAGGCCATTGCGGAGCAGCTTGCTATATCCAATTTTTCATTATTTGTCACCACGAGGCTGTTCATGTCCGAACCATTTGGTTTTGTTCATTCCTTCTGCTACAGAAATAACTTAAAGAGGGGCGCGCGTGCTTAAGAAGAGTTTAAACTATTGTACGATGAGAAGTAAAACGGGGATGCAAACTCTGTGTTCAACATGTTCGACTAAGTTCGGTGCTTCTTGTACGACCCTTCGTCAGGCAGAGACGCCAGCTCAGAAGTCAGCAACAGAGTCGCCTGAGGCGTGAACGGTTTAGCAATTGTTGTGCATCATTGGTAGGGCGGAGAAGTCACTTGTTTGTTTGCAGGTCAAAGTGGAAGGGTTTCCGACAGACCTGTCGGAGGCACTGACTGTCACTAACATTCAGCCTTCATAGTTTGTCAAGGACAAAGTTGTTTGTTTTTCTGCCAGATAGCCGTAGGCCTTAGGGGTTCGAAGCGTCAGTGGTGTGACTATGGATCGGCGTTTTGGCTTTGCGGGTGCTGCTGCCGTGCTGAGGCTGGTGCAGGTGCAGGCGCTGGCTCTGGATCGGCGTTTTGGTTTTGCAGGTGCTGCTGCCGTGCTGATGCGGGTGCAGGTGCATGTGCTGGCTCTGGGTTGGCGTTTTGGTTTTGCAGGCGCTGCTGCCGTGCTGATGCTGGCGCAGGTGCAGATGCTGGCTCTGGATCGGCGCTGGCTCTGGACTGGATTGGCATTTCGTTTTGCGAGTGCTGAAGCCGTGCTGGTGCTGGTGCTTGCGTTTTGCGGGCACTGCTGCCATGCTGGTGCTCGTGCCGGTCCAAGGATGACATCACGCCAAGCCCAGCGATGATATCATGCCTTGCAAGGGATGATATCATGTCATGCCCAAGGATGACATCATGTATATGGGGTCTACGCCGGTGCAATTTGTTTTTGGACCGGGTGTTTAGCTGAATGCATGCTCCGCGCAGGTCAAGCCAGGTACGCAGGTGGACGGGCCGCTGGCAGAGCCACCAGAGGCAACACCGGCCATTGTTGAGCGCTCAAAGTAGCTCACAAAATGTACGGTGCGTAGGGGTGTGATAGCTTAGCTGGGGCTAAGCGTCCGACGCCACTTCTTTGCACATCCAATCACTAGCAAGCTTCATGTGCACAGGCGATGGTACAGACAGAGGTGGAAGAACTACACTCAGAGCTCTCTGAGGCCATTGCGGAGCAGCTTGCTCTATCCAAATTTTCATTATTTTTCACCGTGAGGCTGTTCATGCCCGAACCAATTTGGTTTTGTTCAGTCCTTCCGCTAGAGAAAAAACTTAAAGTTGGGCGCGCACGCTTTAGAAGAGTTTAAACTATTGTCCAGTGAGAAGTAGAACGGGGGTGCAAACTCTGCCTTCAACATGTTCCACCAAGTTCAGTGCTCCTTGCACAACCCTTCATCAGGCAGAGATGCCAGCTCAAAAGCTAGCAACAGAGTCGCCTGAGGCATGAACGGTTTATGCGTAGAAGCACAAAACGTACTCAGTGATCATCTAAGATGACACAGCGCAAATGAGAAGTGTACCAACTGAAGGCCGTTTGCACTCGAGAAAACAGTCCGCATGGTAGCGGAGCCTGAGAAGCTCACCGCGAGGTGAGTGGAGCTCCAGGGTACCCGGGCCACGCCATTGCTAGAGAGACCCACGAGTCCATGCGCTCCTGTGCCAAGTAGATCCCCATGCCAACTATGGACCTGTAGATGGCAGCGTTTTCTGGTGAAGCTAGATTAGAACCATCTATATCTCGAATATCTTGAATGTCAGAGGTTGCAGGCAACTTCTGTCTCCTGGCAGGTCCAAACTGGTCTTCGTAGGTCTCGGTCTTGATGATGTTCGATGCATATTGGCCTGGCTTGATCAGCAACCCATCCTCCACATAGACATACCGACTCTTCAGGAAATTGACCATCGCCATGTCCACCTCAAACTTCTCCTTCAGCTTCATGACAAAGTCTTCCACTGGCTTCTGCCTCCCTGTGAACACCACATCGTCTACGTGGATGGGAATGCACACCAGGTCTTGTCCATCACCTCTTTTGCCAATGCATGGGTTCACCGCATCAAACTCAAAGTTCAACTCTTCAGCCAAGTAGCTGCGTAGGTGCTCATGCCACGCCGCCTTTGCACCAATTCGTTGGCCTGGTAGGTTCTTCAGGACCTTAATCTGCAGAGGTCTCTCCTGCTCCACCTGCAGAAAGACATCCTTGATCCAACGACAGGTGGTCCCACTGAATTCAGAAATAGCGCTGGCAACGCCCTCAGCACATGATATCCTGAGGCTGGACTGAAGACATCATCCCTCTTGTCATTCGCGTACTCCCGCGCGACCATTCTGGATCTTCTCGACCATCTCCTTCTTCGGAACATAGAGCTTTCTCTGCCCAGCAGTTTCCCGCTGAGACCCTGACCTTTGTGGTGTATGAGAATGATCCTCAGCAAGGAACGGAGCTCATTGTCTCCATACAGTCCAATCTCAACATGGCCCAGGTTCTGCACAAAGGTCATCACTTCCCTGGCCATCAGACTCAGCTGGCCCTTGGATTGCAAGGGGACTGCGCCAAGTGTTCCCGTTTGGTTACAGGTCATCACGAGCCAAACCGCAGACTTCACCTCCTTGATTCTCACCGCCCCTTGACCTTCATCTTGCTCAGCCTTGTAGAGGTCCACCACCATGCCTTCATCCACTTCTTGCCCTCGATCAACTCGTTGTGGCCCTCTCTCAACTTCTCCAGCCTTCGTGTATGCGAGGTGCAGGGAAATCACTGGTACACCTCCGATCCTTGATGCACCAGTCCTCATGTGGCGATCAGGTCTTCCACGATGCTTCAAACAGGCCTCACACCACGCCTGGTATGGCGCATGGGACAGTGCATGTAGATCTTGGACTTCCTGATGGCACTGGGATCAAAGGTTGCATCCTTGGTCTCCGTGCCACCTGTAGCTCAGCAGCCGCTACAGCTTCAGCTGCCGCCTTGATCTCCCGCTCGTTGAGGTAGCTCACCAGTCTCTCATAGCACTTCGAGCGGCTGCCAAGCGGCTCTCAACTCTCTCAGCCTGCTCACCGCAGTCAGCTCCACTTCATTCACGATGATGTGGTCTGGTATAGTCCTGCTCCAAGTTCAAATCTTCCTGGACGACCTGCTCCTCAACCTCCGGCCCAGCTGGCAGTGGAAGTGGCTCTCATGGGAAGCTCATGTTCCCTTCCGGGCACCCCGTCAGCTTAGCTCTGAGTCGACCTCGAAGCCCATGTCCTCCGTTGCCATGGCCTCTTTCGTCAAGACGGTCAAGATCAGGGGGGTGTTCTCCGCAACATTCTCAAGAGGCTCCTCCTGATCTTGTAGACCATGGAGAGATTCACACATCTCAAGCAGCTGCCACCTCCCATCAACTCTTGCCAAAGTGGTCCTCAGCCAATCAACGTCCCAGGGACGCCGCCAAGGTACTGGGGATTCTGCATCTTCTTGGCCACACGCACTCCAATCCAGCGGTTCTCAACTTGTTTCCAGCCAACCTGCTGCTTCACCTTCTGCTCCAAGTCTCCGGCCAGTTTGGCCTCCAGCATCCTCACCACATGTGCGCATCGTTGCGCACCTCCATGTGTAGGTCCAAGCATCATCGTGCTGCTCCACCTCAACATAGCCGTGTCATACTGAATGACCGTTTCCCTGAGCTGCCCATAGTCCTGGCTCTCAGCAACATTGAGATGGAGCCATGTCTTGGGCGAACTTGATGGTGTCCTCGAGCTTGGAGCCTGTTTTCTTGTATTCCATGTAGGCTTCCTCAAGCCGAAGAAGCTGGCCGAAAATGCTTTCCTTCTTCATGTCAAAGGGCTTCCACTCCAAGATCATGGTCAACAGACCTAATGACCTGTTCTTCGAGGCAGGTTCAAGGCTCTTGATGAGCAGTCGATAGGCCTCAGGGCAATAGACGCTGTCTGACGGAAGCCAACAGCGAGTAGAGGAATGTGCTCCCACCGTGTCAGGCCTCTCACCTCCTTGAAGTCCTCTGCAAAGGCGCCATCATCGAGGAGAGGTACTGCTCGACGCTCCAGCTGAAGCCACTCCATTGGCTCATCTCCTCCTCCCTCATCTTGGCATCGAAGTTCGCTGGCTCTGGAAGGACCCTGAGCCAGTTTGTCCCCTCAGATCTGCGGCCGAGCTTCAGCCGCGCTTTAAGCGGCCACCGATGCTGCCTCTGCCACTTGGATCATCCGCAGGGCAATCTCTTGACCATCCTGAGGTCGGTGAACCCTGAGCCCTCTCCAGGCCTTCGCGCCTGCCCCAAACAAGGACCTCCAAGGGGCGCAGGGGCGCAAGATGAAGTCCAGCGGGGTGTGGCCTTTGTGGTCAAGGAGCTCGCAGGGCGGATGTCCAGTCCCACTGAAATCTCACTCCTAAAGGCGCCGAAGTTTGTGGGCTGTTTGAAGGAGACAGAACATCAACACATCCTTCGCCTCTACTTCAGAGAGGCCAGGGAATCAATACGAGATATCATGAGCTCTGGATCCTAGAATCCCACACCTGCGATGGCATACGCCTCAAACATGTCATTGAGTTCCTCACTGGAGATCAGGCCCAACATGTGCGCTGGGTCGACAATTCTGCAACGCGCCAGATAGCTTGCAAACTCCTATGGTGCCAAAACAAGGTCGTCAAAGGTTCCTTGGAGGTGAAGCAAATTGGCACTGCTTACAACCTGGCGGACATCGGCGCCAAACCTCTCTCAAAAGCACGGCTACACCTACTTCTCCTCTGGGGCCATGTGCAAGATGGACATGGAGAATTCCAGGAACAGCATGTGGAGAAGGGGAAGATCACGAAAGTTGCCAAGTACCTGAACAGGTTGCTGATGGTCAGCGGCCTTGAGCTGGCTGCGGGGGAGAGCACGGACATGGTGATGATCGAGCCCAATTGCAAGATCCCTTTCTACATGTTGGTCTTCATCATCGTGATGGGAGCATTGATTTTTGGAGCGATGGTTCTCTGGAATAAGTTCAAGAGGCTTGAGAGAAGGGTGGACGTGCTTCAAGCCTACATCGACCAGCTGGAGGCTGACAAGGGCAAGATAACCAGAGAGGAATCGATGGCTCAAGACTTCATGGAGCACATAGCAAGTATGGAAGGATTCGGGACCACTACTGCTGCTGCTGCAGCGCCTGAAAGTGAAGAGAACCTGAGTGGTGATACCGTCACTAGGTGGTGGACGTGCCAGTCGAGTATGTGGAGCCGGCATCATTTGCTTTGGGGGTAGGCTCATCACGAGACACGCCTATAGTTCCTGAGCCAGAGCCAGTCCCTACAGCAGAAGGAGAAGAGAGCGATGATAGCATGGGTGACAGTAGCCACCAAGATGCACCACAGGTGACTTATGTTGGAGAGTGGGAGCCGGAGGATTTACAACCAGGCCATGACGAGACCTGCTGGCAAGAGAAGAATTGCTGAAGATCGAAGCTTTGTGGTACCACGCAGTGCGAACGAGAAATGCACAGCTGGAAGGTGAAATGTACAGAGCGATGCAGGACACCTTTCCATACATGGATCCAGCAAATGTGTTGGAAGTTTTTCAAACTGTTACTTTGAGCATGCTACCCGCACCGGTGCAGCTCGGGCACAAGTGCCTTTTTTAGGCTCGGGAGGGCGTTGCCATGGTGCGGTGGCGATGGCTCATCCTGAGCCTTGGGTGGATGGGCTCAGGCCGCGGCTGGTGGCAGACGCCCGATGCAGAGGACCCTCCAAGTCAGAACCACACGACTTGTTGGGATGATCCTCTGCATTGCCTCCAGCTTCGCGCGAATGTGACCTATGCCACCATCCAGGCCCAGTATGCCGCTTTCACCACGTGGGATAGCGTGCTCTGGACAGTTTTGGACACGCTTTTGAGCGGGGCTGGGTGGATGGTGTTCGGTCAGAGCTGGACGAGTGTTCGGACAGGATGTTCGGTGATCCTGCGGGTAGCAACACTCATGGTCATTTGCCTGATCCTCCACTACTTCTTGTCCCTCGCATGGCCTCTTTGCTCCCTGCTCATCGGGACGGTCCTCACAGCCATCTGGATCGTTCGAGCGTGCGTGAGGTGCTGTGGCCGGGGGGTGGGAACCTCTCCAAACAGGGGTTACGAGTGTGTGGAACCCATGAAGAGGCATGCAACCCGACACCTTCGAGACGCTCCTCTCGTTCGAGGTCGAGGGCAAGGGATCTACCTCCCGAAGAAGAAGAAGGAGAAGACCGACCAGAAAGAGACGGAGATGATCGCCTACGACGTCGGGGACGGGTTCGGGAGGTTTCCTATGACACAGGAGAGGCAGAGACCATCCTGCGAGAAGTCAGGGACGAGAAGGAGGAGATGCTGCCCGCTTCAAGAAGGAAGAGAGTGGCGTCTCCCGGCCACACTCCGAAGTCGTCAGTGCAGCACAGCCTTGCGAGAATGGGCATGATCAATTCCCCGGAT